GTCATCATTATTATTATGGTGACAATTACATTTCATTGAGTGGCTTTTTCATAATTGTTTCAGAATGTCTTCTAGATTAGTTAATTTAATCTTGGCCAGCTCAATCCCATGGAACTAAATTTAGTAGACTTTCTAAAAATTATAAAAGTGCACTTTATAGTAGCAAATGTCCTTATCCAGTTTGTCGTTTTGTTTTTGTTTACATTTTGGTGCTTAGGTTATGCGAGGATTTGGCTGAGTGTATTCAGAGTGGGTGAGGCTGGGTTATTCTTATTCAGTTTCTGATAACAAATCAGCCCCTTCTACCTGTCCCCACCTGGGGGACACTGATGCACTGAAGTTTTGTCTGTGAAAACCTGATTTTTTAAAAAATCTCTAAGACAAATGGTGTCCAGAATGAGTTGGTTGCCATGACAACCTTCAGGAAGAGCCCACTTGTTACCCTCTTCTAGAGCTTTTAGTCAGTCCTGCAATGCACAGACAAGTTGGACCATGTGGATGGTGGCCCTGAGGTTCTGTCAATGGAACCACTTTGGGCCTCCTTTCTGCCTCCACTTAACACCTGGTTGACCAAGGAGGATTTCTGCAGTAGGAGGCACTTCCTCATTCATCAGGCCTGATTAATAGTGAAAGCATACAGAAACTGTACAAAATTCATGAACCAGAGATTTATTTCTGTTGCCTTTGTGAAAACCAATCAATTACTAGATTAATGGATAGGTGCATAAAAATCTTGGCTGAGCCATAGTCCCTCCTTGGATATACAAGCCATAATATGGAAAGGACATAAAAGACCTTGGCTTGTTTAGGTGATTTTGCTTTTAGCCATGAGTAGCCTTGACAAGGAGAGTTGAAACAGGAGTCTAAAGACCCGCTCATTATTATGTAGGTAGAGGAAACCACTTTACAAATGTGAAGTGGGATATGTATCAGCAGTCTGCTTGCTTAGTTACCCTGGACACCGTCCTATGCTCATTGTCCTTATCCCTGCAAGGCCCACTGCCACTAAATTTTTCCAGGTTTGTTGAGATACAGTAAAATAATGGACATACAGTAAAATTCACCCTTTTGAAGTATACAGATATATGAATTTTGAAAAACTTATGCAGTCTTCTAACCACCACCAAAATCAACATAATATTCCCACCA